AAGGAAGAGACAAAAAATGAAAACAGAAGGAAAAAATGGGAACAAAGCTTTTGTACATAGGGAGGGGAGGGGAGGTTGAGGAGGGGAATGGGATTAAATAAAATTTATTAAATTTTAAAAAAGATTAAACAGGGGCCGGGGATTTAGCTCAGTGGTTAGGTGGCCTGCCCTGCAAGCGCAAGGACCCGAGTTCAATCCCTGGTACAAAAAAAAAAAAAAAAAAGATTAAACAGGAGTTTTCTAGACAGATAAGACAGGTGAGACAAATACAAAGATTAGCTGAAATCCCAGTACTTGGACTGCCTCGAGTTTGAGGCCAGCCTGGGCTATATAGTGAGTTCAAACCAAGCCAATCTAACTACATAGCAAGACCCTATCTGAAAAAATAAATAGTGTAAGGGATTCAGCTCAGTGACACCAGGCATGCTTTGCAAGCACAAGGTCCTGAATTCGACCCGTTACCGCAAAAATAGACAGACAGACAGACAAGAAAAAAAATTTTTAAATAAAAGTCTAAAAAAATCAAAGATTAGGCATTTAAGGGACCAGGCTGACTGAGCACGAGGTAGAGAAAGGTCACAGAACTCTCCTTGGTCACTCCCTGCACCTTGGGATCTTTGCCTCCCTGATCTCAGACACTGCGTGTACTGGTGCACTTATAAGCAGAATTGTTTTTTCTACCTGGACATAGTTTTTTGGAATCCCAAACTGACTGGCTTATATCCTTAAGAGTTAAAACAGGCCTGTGTATGTAGCTCAGTGGTAGGACATTTCTCTAGGATGTAGAAGGCCCTGGGTTCCATCCCTAGTAATGTGTATGTGTGCGACACACACGCACGCATACAGCCTTTTAACATTTCTGGAAGAGCTCTTTCCACTGTGAACTCTGACACACAGCTGCACCAATTGAAGGGACTGCAGTATTTTCTCCACGAGTCAGCAGTGTTCAGAGCCCAGCCCATCTAGGTGTGGAGAAGCAGGGCTTCCCTGAAGAGAGACCACCCTGCCAAGCAGAGCCACTCTGCAGTTTCTCTAGAGCATCTTCCAACCTGCTGTTAGTTCCCATGGCCCTGTCTACTTCCCCTGTAGAATCTGCTGATGAAATGACAAAAACATTATGGCCAAGGATTTTAAAGACTCAGCAGGCTATGCAATGCACACTGTCAATGTGCTTGGGCTCAGAAGGAACCCCCTACTCCATACTTGCAGAGACAAAGCTGATCACAGCTAAGAGTTTTGGACATGGAATGAAACCCAGCCTCCTCAAATCACCGAGGTCACCATGAAACAAGCTGCTTATCCTGGGTGAGCTCTGTCAGGTTTCCATTCTGCAAGGAGCACTGTAAACCTAGGTGCATCCATGTGCGCTAGTCTGTGCAAGCTTCTGGGCTGAATTTAGATTATGTCAAATGACCAAAGCTCCCCCTCCATACACACAGATAAACAGTCCTGAGGCTAGCATGACTTTCTTCAAAAGTGGCATAAGGACAGGCAGTGTTCCCTCCTTCTTCCATGGGAAGACGGCCAGCATGGGGCCAGGGCCCAGCTGCCGCAGGGAACACTGCTGGCTCCTCCTCTGTGAATGGACAGTAGAGCTGCTGCAAGGCTCCTCTGTACTCTCAGTCTCTGTGGCCTCAGCAGCATCCAGGCCATGCCACACAGCCAATAAATAAACACTTGTTGAAAATTCAAGTGAATGAGAGGAAAGGAGGATGGAACCAAGGTCGGAAAGATCAAGCAGCTTCCGGCCTCCTCTTCTGTGGAGCCCATTCACATGCATTCCATCAACTATGTATCTAACTCTCAGGAATGAATATTCATGTGCACAGGAGGCAAGGGTCTGCCAAGAAGCTTAGCCCACACAAGGGTCACCAAGAAGCTAGCAGCACCACCTGCTGCCACCAGAGCGGAAGACAGGCTCTGTCCCAGCCCAGGTGCTGGTGGGTGAGCGAGCAGAAGGAAGGCTGAGCTGGCCAAGGCTTCTGAATCACCAGGCTGTGAGGCCTCCTCAGACCAGGTGGCCCTTTGTGTCTGGAACTGAGGAGGAAGTGCCCTGCTGACCTGGCAGGCTCCAATTTCCCTTTCTCGGCCCTTAGCATTTCCTCCCAAGGCTTCTTAGCCCATGGGCCCCTGGTGCTGTTTGGAAAGAACTAGTAATGAAGGACCCATGAGAAATGGTGGCTTTCAAAACAGTGCTTCTTTCATCAAGAGGATGCAGCTCCCAGTGCTATGGGCAGAGACTCTAATCTTTCTGATTTATGACTATTTCTTAGGATGAAGGATGGCTATGAAAATATACACTGCTGGATTTTGCCAGAGGCCTAACAGTAAACCCAACACCACTCACCTGCTCTAAAGCCAGGTCAATAGTTCAAGAAAGCAAAATGTCTGGGATTCAGCTTGCAGCAGAGAGCTGGGAAGCTGGCATGAGGCTGTCCTCCTGCAGCTGGTCACACAACTGGTGAGAATTCCTATGTGAACACTGTGGTTCCAGTGTCTTTTGCTACTGAAAACAATCTACAGCCATACCATCCTGAATGTGCCTAATCTCATAACCTACTGAAAACAGTGCTAGGACTGCAAAACCATCTCTCTATAACACATAATGGGCTGAGGAACACAATGTCCCATTAGTACTACATTTTTCAGTTTCTAATGATGCCTATATATGTGTGTGTATTAGATAGATAGATAGATAGATAGATAGATAGATAGATAGATGAAATTATGTATAGCAATATGGCCTCACTGGATGGGGTGGCAAACACCTGTAATCCCAGCACTTGGGAGGGTAAGGCAGGAATATCCTCAAAAGTTCTAGGCCTGCCTGGACTACACAGTGAATTCAAGGCCAGCCTGAACTACATAGTGAGACCCTGCCTTAAAAAATAAAACAGAACTCAGCTATGCCAAAAACATAGGAAGTAAATAAGCTCACATTTTAACAATGTGAGCTTACCCCACACCCCTCACCCCTGTTGGAGACAGGATCTCCCTGTATAGTTCAGGCTGGCCTTGAACTCACAATGATCCTTAGTCTCTGAATTATGAGGTATTGAATGCTAGGATTACAGACATGAGCTACCATGCCTAGCTCCAAGTCATCTCTTGATGTTGGAAGCTGAGGTATGTTCCAGGACTTGCCAGAACCACATAAAAACTTTGTAGCAATCCATGATGGTGTGACAGGTCCAGGATGCGGTGCCTTAGGTATAAGAACATGTCACTAACTTGTTGTGTGAACCCAGAGGAGAACTGCCTCTCGGGGCTTTGTGGCCTCTTTGCTCCTCCGCTTACTGGTAAAAACACCAAGTGCATCAAAACAAAGAAGGCTGTAAGTGGGAACAGCAAACAGGCAGACAAAAGCCACATATGGGCACTCTCAGATAAACTATTTGCCCCACCCATGTTATTTTTTTTTAATTACTGTCAATATTTAAACATTAATAGCTTTCAAAAATCAAGGTTTTGCCACTGTATTATCCCTTACATTGATGGTCCATCCTAACCTGTGGGTATTTTTTTTCCTATCAATTGGTCCAAAAGTTGCTCTCTAGAGCCTGTTTCTTTTCTTACCTTAAATAAAACTTTGCTACTTTAAAAAAAAAAACAAAAAAACTTCACTAGCCAGAGACTAGAAATAACCTAAATTTACATTAGCTGTTGACTGGTTAAACAAAATGTGGTTTATAGAGAAAAAAATGAAGGACTAAAGCATGCTCTAACATGGATGAACTTTGAAAGCATGCTAAGAATCCGGTCACAAATGAGTCACCCTGAGTGACCTCCTCCTCTCCTCTCATTCTTTACTCTGCTTCCCTGGTGTCTGCTTCATACCATTCCCTGTACCTGTACCACCTCCACCCCTCACGCCCTCGTGCCTTCTGACAAGCTGTCTTTTGCAGGGAACATCTTGCTTCTCATTGCCTGCCCACCTGCTCCTCCCTGAACACTCAACAGAAGCAGCCTTCCTGTAGAATGCTCATCTCAAACCCTCTGGCCTCCTGGCTGCCCTATGATCCCCTCACATAACCTCCACCAAAGCCTGGAACACACAGCACCATTACACTGCATTCTCATCATGCACATACATGATCAGGGCCTAAGGAGAACCATTACCTGTTCATCTCAGGATCCTCACCTGGCAGGACACAACCTGGCACTCGGTGCACCTTAGCAAACATCCAGGAAACTGAGCTAAATACAAAATATGATTCTAGTTTGGGGAAACAAGATTCCAAGAGGTAGAGGAAAGATGTCTCGAATATGCATGCAATTCACAGTTCTCAAGCAAAAAGCCCAAGGTGTGCTATGCCATAGTTTAGATCACTAGGAGGGATCTCCAGGGCACCAGGCTAGAAGCTCTCACAAAGCCTATGAGGTCAAGCCCCTGCCTAGCAATTAAGAAACTCATGTGCCCAGGGATCACATGCACAAACCAATTCTGTCATGCTCATATTTCCATCCCTTCTCTCACACTGGCACTGAGTAAAACTTAGAAATATTCATTTATCCTATTACACTGATTTACTATTGCTTTAAATAACAAGCAAGAAGAATCACAGCAAATGTATCCCCTTTTCATTAGCAGCAGTGGTAAGCACATGATAATTTCCAGCTAATTATAGCAACTTGATTTAGATATTTCATGGTGGGTATTACAGCTTCTTAAGCGGGGGTGCTGGATACAATTCTGAAGCTGAGAGAACTGAAATGTATTCCATAATAGGGACAAGTCAATTCCGATGCATGAAGGAGGCAGGGAGGAAGTCAGCTTTCCTTCTCTCAAAAGCAGAAAACCATTCAAAACGGAAAGAAAACTCTGTGCCTCAGTCCCCAAGGAGGAGGTTGAGGGCCTGCTGGACATCATTTTCAGGGACTGGAGGAGGGTGCATCCGACCACAAAGGACTGGACCAGGTGAGACAAAGTGTGAAGCTCTGCTCTGTCCCTCTCAACCATCCAGCAGGCAAACACAAGAGGTCAAGGATGGGATCTTTACCAAATGATGGCCAGGGATCTGAAGAATTCGCAGGAGCTGCTGGCCCACCCCAGGGGTTGTTCTGGTTAGCAGATGCTGACGGGCCCCAGGGTTCCGCTTTCTGGGCAGCAGGGCCAGAGGTGGGGAGAGCATCCATTAAGTCCAAAAGAGTAGTCTGCTGTGGGTGGGAGCCATGCTTTTAAAACAAAGAGAAGGGGACAGTTTTACTTTGCTACAGTTATAGCAAATACCCATACCATAAATATTGCCCGTACCTCTTACTATAGTATAGGCCCTTTGGAAGGCACTTATGAGGGATTTGGAAATTTTGCTACCCACTTCCTGCCCTGTTCCCACCAGCTCCAATGTTACTACTTCCTAGGAGAGACTGGGCTCCAGCTATTTGCCATTTGCCAAATGCACCACAGGCTTTCAGAGTTCAGAACACCAAAGTGTTCCCCCAAACATTTTCAGGGTAACAAGGACTTAACAACCTTCTCTCACTCTCTCCACCCACTTACCCACCCTGCTGACAGATGCCACCCAGGGCCCCTCTCTCTTACCACTCCAATGACTACAAAGTCTGTTACAAGGAGCCTGTGCCATCAGAATGGGAGAGGCCACTGGTGCCCCTTTGCAGTGATGGTGGCTGTGTGTGTGTGTGTGTGTGTGTGTGTGTGTGTGTGTCTTCTCCTGTCTCCTGGGCTGAGTGATGATGAGCTTATTCGGAGCAAAGCCATGTCCCATTTATATCTAAGTCAAAGTGGGAAGCCTAGCAGAATACGACAGTGATTATGATGAAGAACAATACAACTGCGGGTTCACCTGACCCAGGGAAGTGTCCCAAAGCACTGCCATTTAACTTAATATATACCAGTTACCACAGGAGGCAGGCAGCACTGCCATCCTCATGTATGAATGAGGGCACTGAGGCACAGGAATACTGTCTTCTCTTGGTTGGGATGTACTTTCAAATGCACCTTTACTTTGCTCACGGACATGAGGACGAAGAACCCACTGTGTCCCCACCACACAGAATGCTGATGGGGTGGTGGGTACATGACATTATAACAACAACCAAAGAATAGTCTCAAATATTTACCTTCCAGTAAGCTCTTACCTCTTTCTTTTTTGGAACTTTAACTGTGTCTCTCCGGCTTTCTTCCAGGGCCATCTGTAATCTGAGGTCATCACCACGCCTGAGGCGTTCTTCCTGTGCAAGGACAATGGGAGACTGAAGCTGGCAGTAATGTTAATATTATAGTAGGGAACAAAGCCACATTAGCCAGCAACAGGAAATGCGTATTGTAGTATGTGTTATTCCAAAGGAGGATTTCAAATCAACCTGTAAAACACAATTACTTACCAATCCCAGTGCATGCTCGAAAGGCTCCTACCCCACCAATAACTTCAAGCCCTTGGGGTTATAAACAGGTGTCACCAAACTGAAGAAAGAGAATACTTAATCTAAAATATTTTTTTCTCAAAATGAAGATATCTTTAGAATAGATGTGGTGGCACATACCTGTAATTCCAGCTATTCTGGGGTCTGAGGCAGGAAGATCAAAAGCTTGAGGTCAATATGAGCAACTTAGCAAGGTCATCCCTTCCTCTCTCTCTCCCTCTCTAATGTGTGTGTGTGTGTGTGTGTGTGTGTGTGTGTGTGTGTGTGTGTATTTTTTTTTAATCTAAAAAGGGGTGGAGCAGGGAATGTAGCTCAGTGGCTGTCTGGCAAGCACGAGGCCCTAAGTTCAATTCTTGGTACCAAAAAAAGAAGAAGAAAAAGACCAAAAAGCAGGGTGGGAGTGGAGATGGCAGCTCAGTGGTAAAGTATTTGCTTAGCATGTGTGAGGGCCTGAGTTCAATCTCCATCACTGTAAAAGAATGTTTAAAAAATAGCTTTATAATTCTACTTATAGAAGCAGTATGTCTCCTTTTAAAACACAAATCTGACAACCCAGGAAGAATTAGAAAGATGAAAATCACATATCATTCTACCTCCCACTGTGGCTGCTTCTAGAAAACGGCTATATAGTTCTGTGATTTTTAACAAAAATGACTCATCGTATTTATTTAAGGCACAGTCACTATGTGCAAAAGATAGGCTTGCCCTAGCTTTTACATACTGATTATGACATATTCCTATTTTACTTATAAATTAGCTTTAAAAAGTTCAAACCATCTACCCAACTCTGTGCTTCTTGGTAAGCCCTCCCAGGCACCCTCAAATCTAACCATCCTGAACATTTTTCTCTGAACACTATCTTCTAAATGACAGGTGTCCCTGATCTACCTCTGTTTCTGTCTATCCTTGTGACAATTGTTAACCACAGGAATGACAACTACTATGGTCACTTTAATGTCTCCTTTTCCTCCTCCCCCATTTTAAAGTAATACATGCTTATTACAGAAACACAGGAACTGGAAAAAAAAAATTAAAACTACACATACAGTGCTTGAGGGAGTATGGCTCCGTGGTAGAGCACTTGGCTAACTGGCTAACATGCCGAAGAATCTGGGTTTCCCCAAGCACCACAAAACAAACAAAAATAACACAGTATTTCCTTCTATCCTTTTTCACCCCTGTGCACCTGTGGCTCACCAAATTCAGGGGATGGGGTCACAGCTAGATCCACTCCTGCTCCTCAAATCTGGCTTCCTGTGCCTGTCCTGCACGCCTGCCCCCTTGAGGAAGTCATGTGAATTCTGCTCATTCAGGAGACCTCAGACATTGGCTGTGTCTGCATGCGTGTTTCTGGGAAGCACTTGTGGTGGTTTCCACTTTTGGTGTGACTTCCTCAAAAATCCTTCATAAATATAACTTTGCACAGGCTCCTTCATGGACAGGGGGGCCATAAATAACAACACCTTGCAGCCATAGGAAGTGAACTCAGCAAGCACCTTTGAAAATAGCTCTGAAAACAGGGCCATGCGCATCACTACACTCCCTGGGAGCCACACCCTTGCAGCAATCGCTGTAGTACAGACCCATCGAGGACACTGACCTGCTCTGCCACTTCTCTACTCATGGCAAGTGCCAGCTGCAGCTGTAGCTCCTCTTCTCCACTCGTCTGTGGCCGAGCCTGCTCTAGCTCCGAGGATACACGTGGGGAGGTGGCTGTGGAGGGAAGGCAAAATCACCACATGCAAAGACAGGGCTGTGCCTCTTGGGCCAGAAGCTCCCCAGTTGGACAACATCCCATTCCCATCGCATACCCACAAGGTCCAGCAAGAGCCCAGTGACACCGGCAGAGTATGAAAATGGGTTACAGATTTGTCAGAGTTAAAATCAAGTGATCATCCAATGTGGCTTCACAACTATGGAAGTCACATGGTGCTGGCGGAGAAGGCATCCTTTGAGTATGCAAGTCCCAGGCCTCCAGAAGTTCAGAACCTGTCTTCACTGAAGTCCTGCACTGCTCCAAAGACAGGGACTGACTCAGACAGAACCCCAAGTAGAGTTCTGAAAGAGCTGGACCAAAGAACATCCTTCGGTCAGGCACAGGGCATGGGTACCAAGGGCTCTAGTTGAGTAACACTGGTGTGAAAACATTTGATATCTCGTAGTGTTAAAGGCTCAGGAAAATGAAGCCCACCCATTTCTGTGATGATCCTGAACATTTTTTTTTAATAACACTACACAGGTACAGACACTTTTGCTGTATCTTGCTAGTTTGAAAACTTACAAACAGCTCCTGGAAAGACAGTTCTTACTGAAAGAACGAGATGTGCATTTCTAGCTGATATAACAAACCCCACACAAGGAAGATCTTCATTTACCCTATAATCCAGGCAGGGCTTTCCACAGCCATAGGACATTTGTAGATCAGAGAGTTTAGATGCCTCCAGAAATTCAATGTAGAGTTGAAGGAGCAAGGGCGTGAGTGCCTACCTTTGCCGACCCCAGTGGAGGAAGGCTTGATGCTGCTGCACACAAGTCTCCTGGTTCTAGGCTCCTCTGGGCTCCGTACAGCTCATCTTCCCACACCCTGAGCTCAGCTTTCCTGAACTGGCCCTCTAGGACAGCCTCTGCCCTGCCTCATGGTTTTCACCTCAGGCTCACAAAAGTCTCCCAAATGGATGGCTACACGCACAGACGGATGGGTGGATGAATGAATAGATGAACACTCAACCTCACGCCTCAGCAGTACTTTTAAAATGTTTTGTTGTGTGTCTACTTCCTTCTTTTATAACATGAATTCTCTGCTCACTTAAATGTTGCTTCTGCCTACATCTCTAATCTAAACCTGCTGCCAAGGATCTGCCTCCTTGGGAGAAAGTCAAAGGTTAAGAATGATTCCTAACAAGATAGTTTCTAGATGGCTGGGTCCTGGTTTCCTGAATGGAACAGGAAAACAGGCCTAATAGTTCAGGCCTTGGAGATGATCCAGGGAAGCACCGAGATAGCAAGAAAATGCTTCAGAGGGCTGGAGTAGTGCAAGAGAATGGAAATTTCTCACTACTGTGATACTACGAAGCAGAGGCACTCTTTGTTAATTTTTTGAAAAATACACCAAAACATGTAACAGAAAAACTGAACTAGGAACAGTTCTGGGCATGAAGCAGAGTGCATATGTTATGACTTGTCTTTTTTGTCGGGGGAGGGTACCAGGGATTGAACTCAGGACCTTATGCTTATGAGGCAGGCAGTAGAACCACTGAGCTAAATCCCTGGCCCTGTTACTGTCATTTTTTAAAAGCCAGCAACCAAGCTAAGCATGATGGTGCATGACTGTAATCCCAGCACTTGGGAGGCTGGGACAGGAAGATCACCATGAGTTCAAGACCAGCCTGAACTGCAAATGAGAAGGAGGGAAGGAGGGAAAGAGGAAAGAAAAAGATAAAGAAAGCCACTGCAGTTATTTAAAAAACACAAAGGTATTTCTCTAATTAAAATCAAGTCACATCCCATCCTAAAATGTTACCCCAACTGTATTTTCCAAAGTATTTTTTGTATTCTTTTTTTGGGGGGGGTGTTGAGACAGGGTCTCACTACGTAGTTGAGACTGACCTGGAACTCACTATGTAGCTCAGGCTGGTCTTGAACTCACAGCAATCCTCCAGCCTCAGCCTCCTGAGTGCTGGGATTAAAGGTGTGTGCCACCACGCCCGGCTAGTTTTTGTATTCTTTAGAAATAAAGCTGGATAGTAATGAAAAGTCCTCAAACCTATCCTAATAATTGGATTTTTTTTAACAATACAGTAAAACAAAAAAGTACATTGTTTTGCTGGTTTTGTTCCCAAATTCACCAATACCAGTCAGGTCTTGGCTTTCTTGTGCTCAAGAAGCAAAGCTACATCATCCAGATTGGAGGAAACAAAGGCAGCCAGAAAGTTCTTGGGAAGGTTCTGACAGACTCTCACCCATGAAATGCAGTTCCCTTGTCCAAACAATTACCAATTAGCCCCCATTCCCAGCCTTGCTGTTGGTAAAGAATCTGAGGGTTAGGGCTGGGGATTTGGCTCAGTGGTTCCACCGCCTGCCTTGCAAGCATAAGGACCCCAGTTCAATCCCTGGTACCCCCCCCAAAAAAAAGAATCTGAGGCTTAGCTCCCAAAACCTCAGTTTTTATCAGATATAACACCTGACATTCTGCTTACAACCAAATGGAAATCATGAATAAATAAAGGAGAAAGCCTCATATCCCACTCTTTCAAACCCCAACAGTCCTCTGGAAAAGGAGGCACATCCTGGCAGGAAGAGCTGCTCCTTGGCTGCACAGCCACAGGGGCTGACTCAGCAGGGGGATGAATGGATGAAGACCTGCTGCAGCACTGAGGACTCCCTTACTCTCTGAGCTGTTTGGCACACCTGCGAGGCCAGACTGGCTTCAAATGCAAATGTACGCGCTCGCGTCCACCATCACCGATGCGATGAGAATAGCACACAGCCAGAAATAGCTCACCACATCAATGTGGAAATTCAAGACAAAGGGTATTCCCCTGCATGCTGTGGGTTTTATAAACAGATGTATAGCTCTCAGTTCCGCAGGTGGCAGAATGAACAGTTACCATCCCTGAACATCAGCTGAGTGGGTGTTGACTTAGAGGGAGGATTCCAACAGAAATGCTCTTGCCTTAGTGACAGCATCTCAGCCCACAAAGGACCTCTTGTGCCCAGGCACATGACAGGGAACACAGATGTCATTGTGCGATGGGCCTGAATGAACCCTTCTAACCACCTGAACCCTAGAACAGAAGGAAAAAGAAAGTGCTAGAGGGATGGCCATTCTCTGTGCTGCTGGCTGCTTCCTCTCCCAGCCACACTCTGGAGAGGGAATAACAAGGATTAGTAGTTTAAACTAATCACTAAATAGCACCAAATGCATCAAGGGCCTTCCCCTTCCCTACTCAGAAGCGCTCCAAGTCTTCACTCACTTGGCCAAGAGCTATACCCGTGGGTAGGATCACTTTTATTCTTTCCAGTCTGCTGTCAAACATTCTCTCATAATCCAGAATAACAGGAAGAACAAGCAACTCCCCCCCACCCCAGTTTAGGGAGACTAAAGCTGCTCTAATTCAACTCCACTCTGTTTCATTTTCCATCCAGGCAAGGCCAAGGTGCCTGTACTTTGGGTTATGGGAGGGACCCCCTTTCCCAAATGTGATCCTAAAGATGAGATCAAGACACTTCCTAATGAAGATGGTCCTGTTGGCCAATTTCAGGTAACTTTTAAAGAAAAAAAAAAACCAAAGCAGTCACGTTGATAGAAAAACAGGAAATTGGTTATTAGCTATATTTTGCAATTTTCCTAGAAAGTACTGAAGCAATAGCTGCCAACCACAGAATGCTGACTAAAGGGAACAGCTACTATACGTATGACATGATTACTACGCAGTAATCAGCATGACTTCTGGTCTGATAGCCTCACACAGACCACAGGAAAGCAGAGGTAGGGCCTTGACTATGTGTCTTTGGCCCTAAGGCAAAAATGCAAGGTTTCCAGGCCTCAGGGACCTGAGAAGACCTCATGTTGGTCCAAGCATTGCTGCTACCCTTCTTGCCCCCATGCATGTCAGCTGAGGGGAGAGTAGGTAGGAGGGGAAGGAGCATCAACTGCACAAATCCTATCTATCCCCACCTTCAACCATCAGTTGGATCACATCTCAAAGGCCGAACCTTTCCGAACTTCTGCTCCCACTTCCATGAAATGGAGACCAATAGGGCTTGTGAAGGGTTTCAGGGGTGGCTAGGACCCAACTGGTCCTCCCCTGGGGATTCCAGTCTTAGCCCAGGCTGGTGGCACTCTCTTCATGTAAGGGGCTAAAGCCTGCACCCTCCACCTCACAGAGAAAAAACCTGCCCTTCAAGACCTCCATGGGAATAGGCCTGGGCTCTAGCCTACCTAGTCTCTGTCTTCTTTTTACCTAGAAGGTGTCCTTCAGAGAGTAAGGGGAGAAAGAGCCCACACTGAACCCAGGACCAGCTCAGGGCATTTCCTTCATTGGGTGACCCATTCATCAGTCCAACTAAGTTTCTTCCTCATTACTACACTGAAGGAAAGCACTTGCTAGTTCTTCTCAGTGTGGTGACATCTTCCTGTGGTCCCATGAGCTACTACTTCGTGAGGCAGTTATGTCCCTGGCCACTGAAGATATTCCCCCATATCTCCAGCCTCAGCTGAGGCTTCTAAACACAGGTGACCCTCCAGGACCCTGGTTTTGCCTCCTCTCAGGAAGGACTATTTTCACTTAGACAAGGTGAATTATGAGAAAATAAATTCAGAATACCTCTAATATTTAAAAAGAGAAAAAATATAAAAACATAAGGGAAAAGCTAAAAAGGTACAAAATGAGAAGTGAACTAAAGTAGGACCACAGCCAAATCACTGCCCAGCTGTAGTGTGGATGTGACTTGACAAGAGGAACAGACTGCAGCCATCTCTAAGCCATGTGCCCAACCTCACATAATCAGGTGATGTCACACCACCACCCAGGATGTCCTAGCAAAACAATGACATGAGTGGAATCCAGGCTCTGAATATAATTCCCAGGTCACAGGATATCCAGGGTGATGATGCAGTTGAACAAACAGTCCGAGGCCAGGGTTGCTCCGCTGGACAATTGCTCCAGTCTCCTTGGCACATCAGGCCCCTGAAGAAATGACTTGGGTTGTCT